CGAAGCTAGGAGGCTCCAGGTCTCTCTCGTAAACATCCACACATGTCCAACGGCCACGGCGATAAGGCTCTCCCAGGCCCTGTGGCAGCTTCACCACCCGGAAACGGGAGGCAGGGGCCCCAGGCGGTGGGGAACCGTTCCGAGGAGTGCCCTTACCCCCTGGCTCGGGGTTGGGCTCCCCATTGGGCAGGCGGGGTGGGGGCCCAGTGGGGACCGGCAGGGCAGGGGAATCTGGACCTCCAGGGCTCCCAGGACCCTCATAATCCGTGGTAACGCTGGTGATTTGGAAACTACTCTTCTTCTTGCCCCCACTCATGGTCCCTGGGGTTCAGGACGGGGCCAAAGTGGGTGGAGGAAGGGGCAGTAGTGGCTCTTCGAAGGGACTCAGGCACCCCTGGAACAGGGGAGCCACATGGCAGGGACATCAGGGCCCCTGGGGACATCTGGGTCCGACATGGCAGGAGGGCCTGGCAGGAACTGGGGGTGCCTGGGTGGTGAACGGAGAAAAGGGTAGGGGAGGAGGCGAGAGGGGGGAGCAGGGGCAGGTTTTTCCTGCTGCTTTCTGTCGCTGACGAACTCCAGAGCTGAGTTTGCAAACTAGAAAAAGAGTGAGAGAGTGTGTGTGTGAGAAAGCAGTGGGCAGGCCACCTCCGGGTCTTCCTCTCTGGGTAGCAGAATCGGGGAGGAAGGGGAAACCACCAGACACCCAGAGACAAAGAGACAGAGATGACAAGAGACTAGAGAAGAGGGTACAGTCAGAGTGGGCGCAGGGAGCAGGAAGAGGCAGCCCAGACCCAAAGTTGGGCATTTCTCGCCTGGGATTCAAACTCACGGGACTCCAAGTCGTCCCGAGAGCAAAGGGCTCCGAGGCCTGGGTGAACAGAGGTGAAGCACCTCCTCGGCCCGCCCCGGCTACCGGGAGGCCTCTTCTGGTACTCAAGCCCCCTCCCCCCGCCCCCGCCCCGCACCCCAGCTCCCCCATCCCTAGGGCAGGCCCTGCCCGCCGCCACAGCGCCCCGCCCAGCCCAGCGCCTCACCTCTCGGCCTCAGCCAACAAGTTGGGCCGGGGGTCCCCGCCGCCTAAGATGTCGGGCTGTCCTTGCCCTGGGGCCTCTTGGCCCCAGCAGCGCGAGAGGCACAGGCAACAATCAGAGTCTGCTCAGCCCTGTTCGGGGGCCGCACCTCACTCCGTAAGCATCTCCGTGGAAAGTTTGCGCTCCGGAAAAGAAGGAACCCCCGCCTTCTTGGTGGAGCCCAGGCGCGGCCTCTGAAGCACCAAGCGTCTCCGGGCTGATGCGGGAGGGGGCGGCTCAGCCCCCTGATCCTCCAGGTGGAGCCGCTTCGGTGGTCCGGTCTCCCAAGTCTCTCTTCCCGCGTGGCACCAATGGGTCTCTCCACTGCTCAGCTCCTTTTGGTTCTGTCTCACTGTCTCTCCCTTTCTGGGCTGTTGACAACCCCCACACCAGGAAGTCCTGCCTCCTCGGGCCTGCTGACTGCTCCTCTCCTACTCCTCCTTCCCCTCTTCCTCCCCTTCCTCCGCCCTCTCTCCCTCCTGGGGCTCCGGGCCAGCTGGCGCGGGGCCAGGACTGCCACTGCCGCTGCTGGTGCGGCAGTAGTTGCAGCGGCCGCCGCCGCTGCGGCTTCTGGGACCCGGACCAAGCTCCTTTAACCCCACACCTGCTGGGCCCAAGCCCAGCTCTTCCTCGGAGGGAGGGGCTGTGGAGGGCGGAGGGGAAAGGGGAGGAGCCTGCAGAGCGGTTCGGGATTCCCTTACTTGTAGGCACTTGCGGGCTGCCATTGGCCTGCAGACACGCAGAAGAGTGGGACGGAACTGACCAGGAGACCTACTCGTACCTGCCACCCCATAAACACTCAGTAAATGTTATGGAGCTGTTAGAACTGTTATTGTCATATCTTCACTGATTTTCACAGTCACTGTATGAGGAAGGTATTGTTATTCTCCCCTGTGCCAATTTTAAAAAGTGGATTATTAGGAGAATTAAAAAAAAATGCCCATAAACTGGATTCTTAGGTACTCATCATGCAATTTCAACAATAATCAGCTCACAGCCTATCTTGTTTCATCTATTACCCCCTGTTGTACTGTGCTGGGTTATTTGAATTTCATCCCAGGCATCACATTATTCCCCTTCTTAGATGTGGAAATGGAGATTGAGGAGGTTCAGAAAGGGTATCAGTGGTAGAGGAGAGACATTCCACACAGTCAGGTATGTCCTTGGCTGGCATATGTATGTAGAGAAAAGACATGGTACTTATACACACAAATCACCCACACAGACACACCTGAGGACGAACTGCTGGCCCCAAGCAAGGTCACCTCTCCCCCCTCTCATCTGTCCCACTTTGCCCTCCCATTTCTTGCTTACTATAGAGAATCCACACATTACTCATGAAGATCCAACTATGTGCTTGGTGTGAAAGAAGAAACTTCCAACTGCCATTTCTCTTTTTTGATACCCTAGCTAACATGCTGAGAGGAATTATTTTAGTAAAAGCCACTCCTGCTTTTATCACTCTTAACATTCAGAAAGAAATGAATTCTTTAAAAAAAAAGATTTTTATTTACTTATTTTTAGAGAGGGGAAGGGAGAGAGAAAAAAAGGGAGAGAAACACCAATACATGGTTGCCTCTCTCGTGCCCCCACTGGGGACCCAGACTGCAGCCCAGGCATGTGCCCTGACTGGGAATTGAACTGGCGATCAGTTGGTTCACAGGCCGGCACTCAATCCATTGAGCCACACCAACCAGGGCTGAATTCTATTTCATTTTGATTAATTTTAATCAAACAACTATTCTAAAGTATATTAAAAATTCCTTATATCTGTTCACATAAGTATCTGGTAGATTCTCAAACAGCCCTGGGCAGAGATAGTGGATTTTGAGCTCCAGTGTTTCTGCTAAGGAAACTGAGGCTCGGGGGCGTACAGTTATTTGCCCAATGCCCCAGACCTAGTATGGTGGCAATGAGACTAGCCCGAGGCTAACATCTCTACTTCCTCAGCTTTATAGTTCATGGAAATGTTTTAAGCAACCTTTAGGGTCAGGCAAAAATGAAAGGATGCAAAGCCCCTTGCTCCCATGTTTATACACTTACTATTTATCTTTGTTAAAATGCATTTGCACTCCTGCCTGTCTCCCTTTATGGTAACAATGGCTGCTATAGCCAGGTCCTGGGGCCTCCCAAATCTTGAGGTCTGGGAGGCAGCCTCCCTGTGTACACCCCTGACTCTCTCCCTCTGGCAATATTCACAAAATATTCCTGTCCCATTCCCAGATCCATTTTCCTTCAGCTCTGACTAGTTACAGAGTATTCAAAACCCTTCTTTAGATCCTGCCCTTCCCACTGTCTCAGACCCTCAGCATTATCCTGGACTCTTCCGAGTTTACAGTCCCCAGGACGTTATTGGTCTCTGTAGAAATGTTTGTTGAATCAATCAATAAAAATCCATCCACATTAAGGTGTAAAAATGAAAATACTGTTGTGTTTTAATGTATTACCTCTCCTGGGGGCATTAATAATAGCCATTTAATGTATGGGGCCCTTACATTTGTATTCATTACTTCACAACGCCCAACATTACTGAGGTAGGTATGAGAAGAGGCATCTCTCAGAGAGGTTGCGCCATTTGCCCAAAGCCAGGCAGCACACCGCAAAGCCTGCCATATAAAGTAACATTAACAGGTTCCAGGGATTAGGGCGTGGATACCTTTTGGGGGTTCATTTTTCAGCCAGTCAGGGGTAGAACCAAGGTTTTCTTGCAGCTAACCTGCGCCAAACGGAATTAAGGAAGGAATTTTTCATAGAGTTGATGAGAAAAGACCGAGCCGGGGCCCTGGCCAAGGTGGCTGCAGTCAATGACCTAACCAGAGCGCCCAGGTCCTAGCGGGCTCCGCCCGCGGAGTCAAAGGTTACGAGGTGGATAACTTCTGCCGCTGGGGTGGTAGGCGGAAGACTTTGAGCCCAGAAGGTGACACAAAACCCAGGCGCCCGAGAGGCTGGAGGGATACACGAACCACACCGAGCAAGCCAGCACCGTACTTTCCCGGAACCTGGGGGGCGGCGGGAAGATGGCGTGCGGCCAGGGGCGCACGCCCCCTGCTGGGCAAAAATCGGGATGGTCCGGCTCCCGACTCAGAGCCCCTCGGCAAAGAAAGAGGTGCCCCCCTGCCGGTCTCGCCGCTTCACTGCACTCGGGCCCCACAGCCGCAGACCCGACCCGACTCTGGGAGAGCAGCCGGGAGGGGCCCGGCGAACAAGAGACGAGCGCGGGTGCAAGTCCCAGGCTGCCGCTGGGGGGCACCGCTGTGCGCTGCGCCCCCTTTCGCTCTGCGGGGGCCTTGGACACCGAACTGAGCGCTGCCCTGCCGGGCACCGGGCACCGGGCACCGGGCGAAAGGAGGCGAAAAGCGGACGCCCCAAAGCGGGGCCTGGCTGGCGCATGGTCCCCGGCGCCCTACGACCTTTCTCCGAGTCGCCCCGCGGACTCCGCGTCCCCCGTACCTCCCAACCCAGCCAGGCGGCGCGGCACAGCCCGCGCCCGGTCCTTGGAGGGTGTGGAAGGGTGGGTTTGGGGCCGGGGGCGGGTCTGGGGGCGGACCCGGAGGCGGGGCTGTCTCTGCGGCAGGACCCAGCTCCGCTCCCCTCGGTCTCTGTCTTTCCTCCTCCCTCCTCCTGCTCCGGGCGGAGCCCGGCATGGGGGGGCCGGCGCCCGGCAGGCCAGGTACGGTGATGTAGAAATTGGGGAGGCTTGGTGCGGGGCGATGGGATGGGGGCGATCAGGGGCAGGGAGGATTGGCGGGGAGAGACTGAGAAACCCTGGATAGCAGGACAAGGGGAAGGGGAGGGGTGGCCGGGAACCTGGGGCGCTTGGATGGAGAGGGGGATGAAGCCGACCAGCTTTGGAACCGACAGAGCTGGGAGAGGACGGCAGTGAGGAGGGGCGCCTGGGATGAGAGGTGAGGCTGAGGCGCAGGAGATTGTGTTTGGGGGAAGGGAAACCAGGCAGGTATGGAGGCCGCAGCTCGAAAGGTAGCTACGGGGCCAGGCTGGAGACACTGGGGTGGGATTGAGGGGCGGGGACTGAAAGAGGGTAGCTAGGAGCTTCCCAGATCCTGGAGAAGGAAGAAGATGGTTTGGGCCATCAGTGAGGGAAGCGGAGACCATCGCTGAGGAGCCAGGACGCAGGATGAGGGGTGGACCGAGGCCCGGGCCCAGGCGAACAACTGGAAGGGCCCTAGGGCGGCAGGGGATGGAGGTATTTGGATGGTGGTATTGTAGATTCCCAACTCAGAGTGCCCCCTCCCTTTTCCCAGCATCCCAACCCTGCCCTCATGACACCCCCAGCCTCAGGGCCCAAGATGGGATTAGGAGTCTGACTGTCTCCCCCTTCCCCAGTAGGGTGCAATGTACGCATGTAGACCTGGGCACAACTCCTTGTCCAGTGCGGTGCAGCCTATTGGTGTATGTCTGTCTGGAGGTCTGTGGGTGCTGTGGGTGTGTCGAGTGTTTATGTCTGTGTGTGTCTGCCTGTTCCTAGGTTGTGTTTACCTATGCTGATCTATGTATCTGGTCCTCTGTGTGTAGGTGTGGGTCTATGGCCCTGGGGTTTGTGTGTCTGAAGGTGTGTTTGTTGGGCCTGTGTGGTGGATCAGGATGTATTCACAGGGTGATAGTCTCTGTTGTTCTTATCTCTCCAGAGTGTGTATTTGTGGCTCTGAACACCTTTGTCAGACCGTGTGACTCTGTGTACAAATGTCCATCTGTGTCTGTGGGCCCTAAAAGGCTATGTTTGGTTTTTTGTCCCTCCATTTGTTTTCTCCCTGTGAGGACTCAAGTCATGTCTCTCTTCCTCTTCCCCACCCCTCTCTTGTTCCTGTCCCCCAACCCACCCCACATCTTTCTTTTTTTTTCCCTTCCCATCCCCCCACCAAGTGGATCCGGGACCCAGGGAGGGCCGCCCCCCGGGCCTGGTGGTGCTGAGCAGGGCCCCTCAGCCCCCACCTTCTGTCTCACGACATGAACCTCCTCTACCGAAAAACCAAGCTGGAGTGGAGGCAGCACAAGGAGGAGGAGGCCAAGAGGAGGTAAGGCTGCGTCCCGGAATGCCCCTCACCTGCCTACCTCTGCCTCCCCTTGACTGGCCCACATCCCTTCGGCCCTTCCTGAGTCCAACAGCCTGGTCATTAGTCTGATCTCAGAGTCTATACAGAATTGTGGGATGGCACACACCCTATCCCCACCCTGCTCCTGGCTCCAGCTCCTGTCCTGCCCCTTTGGAGGGCTTGCAGCTTAGGAGCACCCTGTTTGTTCTTCCTCATCCCCGGAGGCCCAAGTCACTTCTTTCTAACTCACCTCTGACCCATGGTTTTCTCCTCTCTGTCAGTTTGGGGCTGGCTCTTGTCTACCCTGTCATCTGACCTTGGAAGGGGTAGGCCCTTCTGCCCTCACAGTCCAGGAGCAGGTCATTAGAGGGGCACCAGAAAAGATCCATTTGGTCCCCTCTCAGCGAATGCTGGGGGAAGTGAATGGCCAAGTGGTAGGGTTGTGTGTGTGGTGAGGGACACGTAGGCTGGGCCCTGCGGAAGAGCCAGGGCTTGCCCTCTCTCCTTGCCCTCCCAGGGACCTGGGGCCTGGCCTCTCCCATCTTGCTCCCTTCTCCTCTTTACTCCCATTGACTGCACAGCCTCTTGGAGGCTGAGTCAGAGCAATCTCCCTGCTCCCTTCTCCCTCCTCACAACTGAAGAGTTTAATTCTTGCTGTTAATTAGATTAATCAGAGCTATCGCTGCAGTGATCTGTCCCTAATAAAGGGTTAGTAGACAGGGCCTTAATGAAAGCCCACCCCACAGTTCTCCCCTCTTCCCTGCCAGCTGCCCCCACCTGTCACTCACCCAGAAGTTCAGGGACAGTGAAAAGGAATCAGGCTGGGAGGTTAACAGAGACTCTACAGCACTGAGGGGAGAGAGAGAGAGAGAAGGATCAGCTTGGGAAGGATCAGATGGTGATGTGGCAGTACAGCCCCAAGTCTGGGAGAGGAGGCGTGGTGTGGCGTGGAGCATAGGCCACCGAGGCTGGACACAGGGGAGGCCAGAGGCCAGGCGTGGGCCAGCGTGAGTGAGAAGGAGTAGAGCTGTGGTGGCTTGTGTGTGAGCCAGACGGGGCTGTGCTGCCTTAGTTTGTGTCTCTCTGCCTATGTATTAACTATCCACACGTGTGCTGTTTGCTAAATACTCCCAGGCTGGGATCAGCCCGCTGTAGGATACTCTCCTGCACATATACTCCCTCCTTTTCTCATTCCATTTTTAAAGCCTTGGGATTCTGCCTGAAGCTTCAACTTTAGTGCCCTAGGCCTTCAGGCTTCCCCCCATCCCTACCCCAGTCCCTTCTTCCTCCCTGGGAGGACGCAGGGTTGCAAACTCTTGTTGAGGTGGAGAAGGGGCCTGAAGCCCTTCAACCTCTGCTCCACCTTGGCCTTCTCTCCTCAGCTCCAGTAAGGAGGTGGCGCCTGCAGGCCCAGTAGGGCCCGGGGCTGGCCCAGGGCCTGGGGTTCGAGTTCGGGACATCGCCTCTCTGCGCCGCTCCCTCAGGATGGGCTTCATGACAATGCCAGCCTCCCAGGAGCACACCCCCCATCCCTGCCGCAGCGCGATGGCCCCTCGCTCTCTCTCCTGCCACTCTGTGGGCAGCATGGACAGTGTGGGGGGTGGGCCTGGGGGAGGTGGTGGGGGTCTCACCGAGGATAGCAGCACACGAAGACCCCCAGCCAAGCCCCGGAGACACCCCAGCACCAAGCTCAGCATGGCAGGGTCCAGCACAGAGACGCCCCCTAGCAAGAAGGCAGGTGAGATACCTCCACCCCTCCCCAGGGCGAGCTGGGAGCCAGGAGCCAGAAGGATCCATTCCAGGCCAGGGGAAGACTGCTGGGAGGCTTCATTCAGGGAAGAACCAAGAAAGTGGAAGATTTCATTCTCAGAGGGGTTGGGGGGGGTTCCTTTTTGGAAGGGCTTGAGATGAATTATTCAAGGCAGGGAAAGCTTCCTGAAAAGTCCAATCATGGAGAAACAGGAGGGTGGGAGAGAATTTAGGGGGAGAGCTGCAGATTCTGAGGAGTTTATTAGGAGGACTGAGGGCCGACAGGATAGGACAGGAATCTACTGGAGCTGTAAGTTAAGGGATGTGGGTAAAATGAAGAGGCAGATATGGCCTTAAAGATGGGTCAAGAGGGCAGAAAAGGTCTCCCCATTCTGTTCCCCACCCAAGAGTTCAGTTTACTTTTCTCTTTCCCATTCTTCCCAGGCTCACAAAAGCCAGCCCCAGAGAGCCAAGAGTCTAGCCGGAAGGTTCCTCCACAGAAGCCCAGGCGAAGCCCCAACACTCAGCTCTCTGTCTCCTTTGATGAGTCCTGTTCCCCAGCCCCCTCTCCTCGAGGGGGAAACCTGCCCCTTCAGCGCCTCAATAGAGGGTCCAGCATTGCTGGGGACCCTGAGGTGGGTTCCCAAGAAGAAGAGCCAGTGTACATCGAGATGGTGGGGGATGTCTTCAGGGGAGGAGGGAGAAGTGGAGGGGGCCTGACTGGTCCCCCTCTTGGGGGTGGGGGCCTGACCCCTCCAGCTGGCGCTGACTCAGACTCAGAAGAGAGTGAGGCCATATATGAGGAGATGAAATATCCGCTGCTTGAAGAGGCAGGGGAAGGCCGAGCCAACGGGGCCCCTCCACTGACTGCCACCTCCTCGCCGCACCAGCCTCATGCCCTCCAGCCCCACATTCACCACCGTCCAGCCTCAGCCCTCCCAAGTCGGAGGGATGGGACACCCACCAAGACCACACCTTGTGAAATCCCCCCGCCCTTCCCTAACCTCCTCCAGCATCGTCCTCCACTTCTGGCCTTCCCTCAGCCCAAGTCTGCTTCCCGAGCCCCTGGCGATGGGGTCTCGAGGCTACCAGTGCTCTGCCACTCCAAGGAGCCAGCTGGCTCCACCCCAGCTCCCCAAGTGCCTGCCCGAGAGCGGGAGACGCCTCCCCTACCGCCTCCGCCTCCTGCTGCCAACTTGCTGCTGCTGGGACCCTCGGGCCGCGCCCGGAGCCACTCGACACCGCTGCCACCCCAGGGCTCTGGCCAGCCCCGGGGGGAGCGGGAGCTCCCCAACTCCCACAGCATGATCTGCCCCAAGGCGGCAGGGGCGCTGGCAGCCCCTCCTGCCCCGGCCACGTTGCTCCCCGGCCCCCCCAAGGACAAGGCCGTGTCTTACACCATGGTGTACTCGGCAGTCAAAGTGACCACCCACTCCGTCCTGCCAGCTGGGCCTCCCTTGGGTGCTGGGGAGCCAAAGACAGAGAAGGAGATCTCAGTCCTCCATGGGATGCTGTGCACCAGCTCGAGGACCCCCATACCTGGGAAATCCAGCCCCCACAGTGGAGGCATGAGTGCAGCAGCTGGGGTTCTCCACCACCGAAGCTGCCTGGCCTCCCCACACAGCCTTCCGGACCCAACTTCAGGCCCCCTGACCCCCCTCTGGACCTACCCAGCTTCAGCAGCTGGGCTCAAGAGACCCCCTGCCTATGAAAGCCTCAAGGCTGGGGGGGTGCTGAATAAGGGCTGTGGAATGGGGGCCCCATCCCCCATGGTCAAGATCCAGCTGCAGGAGCAAGGGACTGATGGAGGTGCCTTTGCCAGTATCTCCTGTGCCCACGTCATCGCCAGTGCAGGGACACCAGAAGAGGAAGAAGAGATGGGTGCCGCAACATTTGGGGCAGGCTGGGCTCTGCAGCGGAAGGTCCTATATGGAGGAAGGAAGGCAAAAGAGCTGGACAGTGAGTGAGGGGAAGATGGGGAGGGTTGGGGATATCGGTGATTTGGGGAGGCCTTGGAGTAGCTATTTGGAAGCCATGTCCCATTGTCCTGAACTTGGAGGAGTACTGGGAGACCACAGGGATGAGGGTATGCAGGGCACCGAAGGGATGGGGTCCCTATGTGCTGAAGGGGTGGGAAGATCTGGGCTGAGTAGGTAGAATCTGGGCAGGTAGAAGCCTCCTCCTTCTGCCCCATTCTGCTCTACCCTCTGCCCCTCCTTTTGCTGGGCTGCAGAAGTGTGAGTGAGTGTGCACACTGTAGCAGCTAAACACAGCTGCCTCCCAGCTGTTACCATGGCAACTCATCCAGACAGGAGGGAGAGGAGAGGGAGGCCCCTACTGTTGCCTGGAAACGCAATGCTCTGCCAGGCCTACTCAGAGATGAGCTTAGTTCATAGTCAGCCCTTCCCCCCAACAGTCCCCCCTATACACACACACACTTTCTGGCTTAGTATTTGGGATTCTTCTGGAGATAGGACCCCTGGTCTGCTTCCAAGGGTGGTCATTGTAGCTCTATCTGGGGCTGGAGGGGTTCAGAAGCTAAAGCTGCCACAGGAGAGGAAAACCCCTGCCAGGGAAAAGAGTTTGGAAGCAGTAAATATCTACGATCTCAGCCCAGGAATGGTGCCGATGAGTGCAATGGAAAGTAGCAGTACTAGGTCCCTCCCTCCTGTGTGTGATGTGTTGGGGGAGTGTGAAGCAGGGATCCTTCCCAGCTATGACCTGCAAAGGGACAGTTACTTCTGGCCCACCCATGCTTTGGTGTGTTGAGCTGGGAGAATAGCAAGACCTCTCCCACATACAGGCACTGAGCTCTCCTTGTCGTCCCAGCAGAGACTGAAGACAATGCCAGGTCCTGGAATGGCAGTGCCGAGGGCCCAGCCAAGGTGGAGCGTGAGGACCGGGGTCCTATGGCATCAGGGATCCCAGTGAGGAGCCAGGGGGCAGAGGGCCTGCTGGCCAGGATCCACCATGGAGGGGACCGAGCAGGGATCCGCACAGCGCTGCCCACACCCTGCCAGACCTTTCCGGCCTGCCACCGAAATGGAGGTGACACATGGCCCTCCCACACCTGTACACAGATGGGGTGGGTTGAGGGGAATTTCCCAGGGCCCATGTCCTGGGGCTGCATCCTAATATCACATCTCCATCCCCTTTCCTCCTCTGATGAGGCAGGCATTGGGCAGCCTGGAAGGGACTGTCCTTAAGGAACTCGGGAGTGGGTAGACCCGAGGTCCCCTTCCCTCCTATCTGTCTCCTCAGACTTCACAGGAGGCTACCGCCTGGGTCGCTCTGCCTCCACCTCCGGAGTCCGGCAGGCCGTGCTCCACACTCCCCGGCCCTGCAGCCAGCCCCGGGATGTCCCGAGCCAGGTGAGGAGGAAGACAAGGTTGGGTTCTAATTGTGCAGGAGCAGATAGAGAAGACCAGGATGTGGGAGGAAAGGCATGAGGTCAGGCTGGGGCCTGGCAGAGACTAATGGGTACGTACGTACGTACGTTCGTGTAGAGGTGGGGCAGGGAGTCCAGGGGACTTCCCTGAGGGTCCCCTTCGAGGGGAGGATTCTGGAAAGGGGCTGCTTATGATGGGCAAGCCAGGCAGGACCACACTGGTGGACAGTGCACCTTTGTGCATTTAGAAGAAGGCGTCCCCTCTGGGGGGGGGGGGGCACTGGAAAAATGCATCCTACTAGGAAGACAGTTTTTAGAAAGTGCCCCTTCCTCAGGGTGAGACAGGCCCGGCCTGGCACCAGGGTGCACAGCTGGGCAAAGGCTGCAGGGGCTGGATTTCTGTTCCCATCTCCTCAGGGGGGAGAGGACAGGGTCAAGAGAGGACTTATTTCTGGGAGAAGGCACTGGTCTCCGCAGTGGGGACAGAGCCCAGTCGCTCTGAGGTCCTTGACCCTCCTTCTTCCTTTCTCCCCCGTCTGGGCGGCGGCGGGAGGAAGGGGCACAGACCCACCCTGCACTGCCGCTGCCCCTGCAGCCCCAGCCGTCCCGAGAGAGAGAGCGTGACGGCAAGCTGCTGGAAGTGATCGAGCGCAAGCGCTGCGTGTGCAAAGAGATCAAGGCTCGACACCGCCCTGACCGGGGCCTCTGCAAGCAGGAGAGCATGCCGATACTCCCCAGCTGGAGGCGGGGGCCGGAGCCCCGCAAGTCTGGCACTCCGCCCTGCCGCAGGCAGCACACCGTCCTCTGGGACACTGCCATCTGAGGAAGGCGGGAGGCCAGGGCACTGGGACCTGGGAGCGGGGCGGGGTCTCTGAGAGACTTGCCTTGAAAGAGGGACACTTGAAGAACCAGGTGAGAGAGAGAGCCAGGGAGAATCCCTGCCCTCCATCAAAGATGGGGAGTCTGCCAGGCCCACTGGGCTTGGGATGCCAGCAGCATCCCCAGAAATCTGGGGGAGACAGAGGGTTTGCTTGAGGTTGGGAGTAAGGCCCTTGCTGCTCCCCTCCTCCTGAGAGGGCAAAGGCCAAGCCAGAGGTCAGCATGGGGGAGGAGGGATGGGGAACAGGTCAATTGAAAGAGAGGGACTAGAGAGTGAGAGATGAAGGAGCTCTTATAGAGTCGGGTACTGGGGAGGGCGTATTTATTTTGTTATTTATTTTAGTTTAGAGGGCAATTCTGAGCCCTCTGACCTACTCCTGAGCAAAGGGTGGGGAGAAGTTAGCAATTAAGGGACCCACAGTTGTACTCTCCCCAATGCCTAAAGGCCCCACCATCCATGCCTGCCCCAAAGCAAGGGATTGGTCTGGAGGGCAGCAGATTCATTCACAGTATTTACAAGTCAGAATCTGGTAGTGAGCGTGGCCTGCTGTGAAACAGGCATCTTATTTAGCTCTGGAGTGAGGATATGGCACCAGGGACGGGTGGGATGATGGGGAAGGAGGGAATTTTAGCGGGTGGGTGGAGGGCAGGGTATTTATTTAAATTTTAAAAAATCAGAAGAGATGTCAGGAATTTTTTTTAATTCCTTTCTTTCAGAATAATATATTAAAAGACTAATGATCCTAGAACTGGCTTCTTAAATTTCAGTGTGCTCTGCCTTTCTTACGTTTGCTTCTTTTTCCCTCTGGCCCTTGGTTGGTGGGAGTTGAAGGCTGTGCAGGGAGGGTTGAGTGGCTGTGGCAAGTAACAGGGACAGGTGGAGTTTGAGGTAAGTGTTCAGGATTACAACCAACAGTGACTCAATAAGCATTTATGGAACATCTGATGAGTGCTTGGCAATGCTCCGATGCAGAAGGAATATTCAAACTAAAACCTGCCTGCAAGCACCTATAATTTACCCAGGGAGGTAAGCTGCCTGAGCTGACACTAGGCAGTGCTCCTGGAGTGAGAGAAGGAGAGGGCTGGAGTCATCTAAGAAAGCTTCCTGGAGAGTGAGCCTATAAGGAGAGAGAAGGTTTGGATGAGCAGGAGGAGGAGGAAAAGTCCCAAAGCCACAGTGTGATTGCCTGGAGAACAGCAGCAGATGGAGTTTGGGGGCACAAAGTGTGTTGAAATAATACAGGGGGCAATAGGGAGCCAGCCATGATGGAGCTGGTTCAGAAAGATGGGCCTCAAAGCAACACACTGGCCCTGGGGAAGGAAACCAGAGAAATCCTGGGAGGCGATGCATCACCATGGAGGGGGATGAAAAGAATGTCTGGGAGGATGGAAGGCAAAAGACAATGAATGAGGGTGGGGGTGGCCAGGTGGGAAGGGATATCTTCAAAGCCCAGGTTTGGAGCTTATGTGGGGAAATGGTCACCTCGATAGAGCAAGAAAAGTGGGGTTAAGAGGACTCTGAGGGAAGATCAATGAATCTGAAACAAGGGCGCATATTCAGGTTGAAAGGTTTATGATGAGCTAGACCACAGTTTCAGAAATGCAAATGATACAAAACAGTTTTAAAACAGTATGTAGAAGAATGTTAAAACTTCAATAGCCTTGTGTTTATCTTCACTCAGAGAAAGTGTAACTAGCACATCAGACTTCTTGTTATTTCATGATACTAAATAAGATGAGGCTAAGTTTTCCTGAGTTGGTTTAAAGAAAAAATTAAGCAAATAAATAATGGTATAGGTGGTGTATAGAATATGCAAAATTATGGCAGTGGTATGAGAACTTTTGAAATTGAGGGAACACCAGGTTAGAAATAAAATGATGATAGTTCAGGAGAGCTGACAAGACTGCCTGTTAGCAGTCATGGACATAGAACTGGTACTCAAGGCCAAGGCTGAGATTTGTTAGGGTGTGGATAAAATATAAACAAGGAATAGCTTTTAAATGGTTATTTTTTGCGATGTAACTGACAACATTGTATTAGTTTCAGGTGTGTGACGTAATGACTGACACGTATGTGACGTGAAATGATCACCATAGTGCTCGGTTCACAGCCATCACCACACATAGGTACACATTTTTTTCTTGTGATAGGAACTTTTAAGATCTAGTCTCTTACCAACTTCCAAACATGCAGTGTAGCTATGTTAGCTATGATCACCATGCTGTACATCACATCCCCAAAACTTATTTATCTATCTTATAACTGGAAGTCTGTACTTTTACTCAGTCCCTGCCCCGCCCTGTTAACCACCAATCTGTTCTTTGTATCTATGAGTTCGGTTTTTTATTTTTATTTCAGGTTCTGCATATAAGTGAGATCATAGGATAAGTGTCTTCTTCTTTTAATTTTTAAAAAAGATTCTATTTATTTTTAGAGAGAGGGGAAGGGAAGGAGAAAGAGAGAGAGAAACATCAATGTGTGGTTGCCTCTCACACCCCCATACTGTGTAGGTTCATGCCTACAACCATGCCATGAACCCTGGCTGGGAACTGAACTGGTGACCCTTCAGTTCACAGGCCTGCACTCAATCCACTGAGCTACACCAGCCAGGGCCATATGGCATATGTCTTTATCTGTCTGACTTATTTCACTTAGCATCATACCCTCAAGGTCCATCCATATTGTGGAAAATGACAGGGTTTTTAATAGCTTTTAAATAATAAGTTAGAAAATTAGTGGAAGGAACTATCTCATTTATAAGAGCAACAAAAATCATACAATATGTAGAAGTAACTTTAATAAGAAATGTATAGGATTATATTGGGTCAATCAAAAAAACTAAAGTTCTTTGAGCTACTCAGACCAGAAACACTAGAATAAGCAGAGCAATAACTTGTTTTTAGATAAGACCATAATATAAAAGATGCCAGTCTTCCCTAAATTCATAAATTCAGTGAAGTCTCCAACTCTCCAAAGGATAATTTGGGAAGGTTGACAAAATAATTCAAAAGTTTGTCTAGAATGATAATGGGAAAAACAGAACATACTGAAACTGATGAGCAATGGGGGACCTGGCCTATCAAACTAAAAGTTCAACAGAAGCACAGTGTGCTGGAATTGGCACAGGACTGGCACAATTCATCAGAACAGAATTCAGAAGTCACCCCAAATGCACAGGAGAATTTGGTACATATATAATGAAAGTAGCGTTTTCACGATGGGGAAAAAGTTATTTAATAATTGTTTCTCAAACAATTAGCCAGTTAAGGGAGAGTGTGGAAAGCTGGATTTCTATTTCATGTATTATGCCAAAAGATTTGAGTGTAAAAAAAAAATCATTAAAAAAGGAAGAAGCCCTGGCTGGTGTAGCTCAGTGGATTGAGCGTGGGCCTGCGAACCACACGATCGCAGTTCGATTCCCAATCGGCACATGCCTGGGTTGCAGGTCAGTTCCCAGCAGGGGACTCATGAGAGGCAACCATACATTGATATTTCTCTCCTTCTCTCCTTTCCTTCCTCTCTAAAGATAAATAAATAAAATCTTTAAAAATTTTTTTTTAAAAAAGGGAAAGTAGGTGAACATCCTTATAACCATGGGATGGAGGCCTTTGTAAATGACATGAAAACCAGAGACAAACCACAAGAGTGTGAAGTTTCATGGCATTCACTGTTCAAATGTTATGTGACTAAGTCAAACTACATTTAACTGGGAAAATATTTCTGATACATGTGAAAACGATCAATGCAATATATAGGAAAGATTTCTGAATTGATAAAAAAACAAACAAATGTGAACAAAGGACACAAACAGACAATTCACCAAAGAAACAGAATTACCAATAAACATGTTCAATGTTAACAATCAGTGATGCAAACTAAAGTAATAATAAAAGACTTTTCACCCATCAGACAAAACGGAACACAATTTCATGATATCAGTCTCCCAAGTATGTGCAGGAAAAAGGCACTCACTGTAGAGAGAAATTAATACAGCCTTTTTGGAGGTCAGTTTAATTGTGTTTATTAAAATTTAAAGTGTGTATGGTTTTGACTCCAAACTTCCATTTTGAGGAATATATCCTCTGGAAATAGTTACACAAGTGTACTGAGCTGAATGAATGTAGAAGGATGCTCATTGCAGCATCGTTTGAAATAATGAAAAATTGGAAACAACCCCCAAAGTTCATCATATGGCACTGACTCAATAATGTACAGTATCAAAGAAGCTGTTAAATAGAACACAGGAGATACAGCTGTTCTAAGCACAAGAACCAGTTCATAATAAGTGAACAAACCACTGTGCAGAAAAGTACATACAGAAAAATCACATGCTTAGAAAAATCATTTGTAAATTTTTATGTAGGTCTGGAAGAAAATGCACTAAATAATTGGTGGTGATTATTTTGAGGACTGAGAAGAGAGGGGTCTTAATTTGCTTTTTTTAAATATATACTTTTTATTTGATTGATTATGCCATTACATTTGCTCTATTTCCCCCCTTTGTTCCCCTCCACCCTGCACACCCCTCCCTCACCATTCCCCCCTCCTTTAGTTCATGAACAAGTGTCTCAAGTTTTTTAGATTCTATATTTCCCCTACTATTCTTACCCTCCCCCCTATCTATTTTCTATCTACTGTCTATGCTACTCATTTTCTGTACCTTCTCCCCCCTTCTCCATCTCCCACTCCCCTGTTGCTAACCCTCCACATGATCTTCATTTTTATGGTTCACTCCTGATCTAGCTGTCCTCTTAATTTGCTTTTGTTTTAGGTGTGGTTGTTAATAACTGTGAGTTTGCTGTCCTTTCACTGTTCATATTTTTTATTTTATTTTTCTTAGGTAAGTCCCTTTAACATTTCATATAATAAGGGCTTGGTGATGATGAACTCCTTGAATTTGGTCTTATCTGAGAAGCACTTCCATTCTAAATGAAAACTTTGCTGGATAGAGCAATCTTGGTTGTAGGTCTTTGGATTTCATGACTTGTAATACCTCTTTCCAGCCCCTTCTTGCCTGTAAGGTCTCTTTTGAGAAATCCACTGACAGTCTGATGGGAACTCCTTTGTAGGTGACTGTCCCCTTAGCTCTTGCTGCTTCTAGGATTCTCTCCTTCATTTTAATCTTGGCTAATGTAATGATGATGTGCCTTGGTGTGTTCCTTCTTGAATCCAACTTCTTTGGGACTCTCTGAGCTTCCTGGATTTCCTGGAAATCTATTTCCTTTGCCAGATTGGGGAAATTCTCCTTTATTATTTGTTCACATAAGCTTTCCACTCATGACTGTTCCTCTTCCCCTTCTGGTACCCCTATAATTCGGATGTTGGAGCATTTAAAGATGTCCTGGAGGTTCCTAAGCCTCTCCTCATTTTTGGGGGATTCTTGTTTCTTCGTATTTTTCTGTTTGGTCATTTTTCCCTTCCTTCTGGTCTACTCCCTTGATTTGAGTCCCAATTTCCTTTCCATTACTATTGGTTTCCTGTGCATTTCCCTTCATTTTAATTAATTTTCCTGTGCATTTCCCTTCATTTTAATTAGGCAGAGCCTTCATATGTTCCTCTAATTTGTGACTAAAATCAACCAGTTCTGTGAGCATCCTGATCACCAGTGTTTTGAACT